CCGCCCACTGCGCTGCGTCAGAGGGGGAGGCGGCACAGAGAGGGAGGAAGCGCTGAGCTCAGTATTGCACAATGGCCGCAAAGCACCAATTACGTCTGCATTCATAACTTAGTGTTTAAAATTAAACAACGGAAATCACTTTCTTTGACTTTTAAGTCCCTTGATTATCATTAAGCACAGGTTTCTCAGCACTCAGACTACTTTTTGATACCATTGTTAGACAAAGCAGGAACTTATTGTACTTTCTAATGATATTACAAGTGGAAAGATTACAGATTTTAATCATCTTGAATTTTGTTATACATTTTAGAAAAGTTTTATCTATACATACACCACAAAACTATTCTCGATTGTATTTCTAAATGTTATGTTAAACTTAGTTCATTGTTTTAAATACATCTAATTAAGAACGTTAGGTGTGCGCATAAACTATTAGTAATCAATAATATTACATTTAGCACTATAACAAATTGTGCTAATAATAAAGTATATTCTACTCTGAGAATGTAGGGGGAAGGAAAAATGTCCGTGGTCTTTTCACTGATAAACTTGTGTTAACAAAAACTACAGTATGCTTAAGAGTTGTTAAACTGGTTTTTATTTATTTTTTCAGCACAGCCAGCTGGCTGTGCCTGCTAGAGCGCCACAATTCACACTCAACCACATCACAGATCACAGATCAGTCCCAGTGTGTGAGATCTTGCTGTTTGATATGTGTTTGATCTTTGATCTGAGCTTTAATAGAGAGCTTATCTCTATTAATGTATTAATATCGAGTGGTATTAAATGCAACCTTTTTGTATAGATGACACTTTTCTAAAGTGTAGTTAAAAATAAAAACGATTACAATTGGTTACGAAAACACTTGCAGTGTGTACAAAGTACATGTGAAAGTTTTCAAAGCCTTTACTATGTCATTTTTAAGCCATTCTTCTGTCCATATCTTTGGAAGGGAAACACAGAAAGCTTTTAAACCAAATGCATTTTAAAGACCACAACTCCAGAAAATCTCCACAGCCTCCACATAAAACTATCCGTGAGCTAATTCTCTTTTTTTAAACCTCTGGTTTTTCATCAATGCGTAATTACGCACTAACTGGAACCCGGGGGGACCGCTGTGTACACATGTTCACCACGTGAGAAATACTGCTCAATACGGCTTCAGGCGAAAAACCCATATATCACCATAGGAAGCAGAACAGCACAGCCTGAAATGGCCGAAACGTTTAGTTGTCTTTCTTCATGCTGTATGTGGCTACCCACCTGTATTAAACCTATTTCACTCAGTAGTCTAAACTAAGTGTAAAGTGCTATGAGGGAAAAATAAAAAGCAACCAGTTTGACATGTACAGTAAAATGTGACATCTTTGGAGCATCGAGTATATATCCAACAGTGTGAGCTAATTTGCAAGGCTATTAAAGTTGATTGAGTTACTGTAACAGTCCGGGTGTGGCGAGTTTCTACTGTCCCCTGACTGTCTTGGATGAAAGGAACCTGTCTTTCATTGGAAGACAATTAATCTATTTTACTTGTACATAAGAATATAATATAAATACACCAAGGGATTGGGCTGAGTTCAGATTACAAAAAAATCTGTGAGCCTGCACTACAGCGGCCATAGTATGGAAACAAATACTTTTTATGTGAAGAGACGTGGTGCTTCAGCTGCCTGTGTGCATTAAACAAGAGAGTGTGGTGTTACTTTTTGTCAGTGAAAAAGTGTGTGTGTGTGTGTCTCGCTCTCTGTACTCATCTTTACTGAAAAATAAATCAGTTTTTCATTCAATGAGTGCTTGGGTCACTGTGACACAATAATAATAATGGCACAATATTATAAATACCCAATTAGGCTGGGCAATCAAATTTTTTAATTAAAAATAAATAAATAAACAATTAGATGTAATGGTGTGTTCCTGCTTAACTTAGATATTGCATGACTTGAAAATGTGGATAAAAACAGGTTTCGATAGTTATTAACCAATTTTGTGCACGAGAAATGGGTGATTTTTCTTCCTCGTCATCAGATCTTTCTTGGAAAAATGTCTTTCTTTCTTACCAGCTGTGATTCAGGCATAGAAGGGTTAAAAAGAAAGTCAGACAGGCAGGGGAAAGGGTGAGTTGTGAAACTGTTTCCTGTCCTGGATAAAGCGGTTCGAAAATAGGTGGATTTACACCTGTGAAAAGCATTCCAATTTTAATGCAATACGGAAGACATTATTCATAAAAAATGATCTTGTACGGTCTGTAAACTGAAAATTTATGAAGGAGACACATTGAGTATTGCCTCTTTTTACATTTGGAAGAACATTCCAATGTTAATGCGACACAGGTTCCTGCTAGATATTCAGAGGGAAAGACAGTGATGTCACCGCGCAGGCTAGTGTTTCTAATGTCAGGCGTATGTGTTAAATATATTTAGATCTTTGAATTAATATTGTTATTGATTTCTTTAGCCTCACAACATTGTCCAATGATACTCTTCTTGTGTCTAATATTTAGTTAAGCAGGATTTGAGCATAAAAAAACAGGATTCACTTTTTTCACATATTGATGATAATTATATCAGTAGCAGTTTGAAACTATTCATTGTTATTAATAAATGCCTTAGATTTGAGCATGTTGTGATATTTAGAAATATAAAAAGTCAATAAAGTGTCCCATAATATTGCTATTTTGCTATTGCTATTTTTGTTTTTCAAAGAAATGTTTATTAAAAGATAACTCATGGTAATAGCTGGATTTGAACACCCAACCTTATAACACTTATGAGTCAGTCGCTTAAACCATCACACCACTGACAATCACAAGCAGTAGTGAAACAGTCATACATATATCAGTAGATATGTGTACTGTATGTACTACTGTTTGTGCTACAGTACCTGAATTTAATTATATCGTTATTAATTTCTTTAGATTCGCGATTCCATATTATATTCCCTATTAAACAAATTCTAAAAGTATGCTTTTGTTTACTCCGATATTGAGCTTATTCGCATAAAAGCTTAAAAGGATCACTTTTCTCACAAAGTACTGTATATAAACGTACAGTAACATGGTCAGAAGGAGCACGTAAAAACGTTTCCTAAATAACCACGTGTAAGTTTGATGCTTAAAATGTTTAGGGAGAAATGGAATACTGGTGTGTATTTTTTCTTTAAAATACCAATACCAGCAATATACAATTTACATAATATGTTTATGTTCCTAAATTAATATAATTTATGACCTTCAGATGCGTTATGCTCCTCTTTTTTTATGCTCAGCTACTAAAATTTATTTTAGTTTAAAAATTCCAAATAAATATTCAATACTAAGCAGATTAAAATGTGCACAGTAAAGAGATTAAATGATTAAATCTTTTCACTACTCAAACTTTGAATCGCTGCATCTGTATATATACATTGTACATTTTATAGGGATTATAAAGATTATTTATAAGTCTTTTAAGAACGAAAGTTTTTTGTTTTAAATTATTTTACATTTTTACATGGTAGAAGTTCTATAATGAAACCGATACACCAATCAACTTATTGTCAGTGCGCCTCTTGAAGTATTTGTAGGAAGAGGCAGAATGTTTTTCTGTCTATAAAAAGGTGGATTTACCCAGTCATAAATGGTAAATAAAAACAGTTTCTCTGAAAATAAAAACAAAACAAAGAAAAGGTTAGTGGATTTTGTATAGAAGGAAAAGACAAGGCCAATAAAGGGGAAGCATAAGTCTGTGACAAAACTGTAAAAGTAAAATTGATTCCGATTTTTAAGTTTGTTAATAATAATAATAATAATAATAATAATAATATTAATATTATTATTATTATTATTATTATTATTATTATTATTAATAATAATAACAACAACATCACTTTATTAACCCTTAACAATTTCTTGCATTAGGAATTATGCCGGCTAGTTAGTCCTGGCTGAACTAGCGAGAGTTTGTGCACATGGAAAGTGACTGTGTGTCCTCCGGTCTCGACTCTTAGAACAAGGTTAATTCCTGGCACTCGGACACACTGGCTGTCACGTGATTGTCTGAGAATGTCCTGGAGAAGCCATCTTCTGGGCCCTGTGCTGCCTCTTTTATCTGGAGAAACTACAGTCGTTCATTGGTTGAAAGTTTCACGGGCATTCGAGACCCACGTGGGTTTACCCTGCCCTACCAGTTCCTGATTGGCTGATCGAGGTGGAGGATGAGTAACAATGCTCTCTGACATCAGGGTTGTAAACAACCTGGGATGAGACTCTCCCAAGGAATCTCAAAGACAGTAAGGCGCCAGAGATTACCATTTATTAGGGTGGCTGCAGAATCTCAACCTTGGGAGCACCACTGAGATGAGGGAGAGTGGACTGGAAAAAGGGAGCAGCAAACTTAATTCCTGTATTAATAATAAGCCTTGCCGCTACACCAGTGTCTCCATTGCAGCATCAACTATTTAGATATCAACTCTGTTATTTTCCTGAAGTTAATAATTAATTTCCAGCAAAAAATTAAAGCATTTTGATGTCATTTGTCATCAAAAGCTGTTCTCTTAAACACCTCTTGTATTTTACCTGTGTCTAATATTAAAATACTGAAAAGAGAAGAAAACACAACTTTTCAGCTGTGGAGCCTTCTTTGGGTGTGAAAGGCTCCACCCACACCCAAAGAAGGCTCCACAGCTGAAAAGTTGTGTTTTCTTTATTCACTTTTCAGCCTGGCATAAACCTATTACTTGTCCTTTGCAGCTTACGCATGCTGACGCAGCTACCCACCTGACACCTGAGAAGGTCTCCACAGCTGAAAAGTTGTGTTTCCTGTCTTCTCTTTTCTGCATGGAATAAACCTTTTACTTGCTCCTTTGCAGCCTACGCATGCTGACGCAGCTACCCACATGAACTAATATTTAAATACTTGTAAATGGCAAACAATTTTTAATTCCAAGAAGTCTGAGTATTGGAAATAGTTTAGATGGGGAATTAACAGAGTTTACTAACATGTCTGTGTTCTTTTTTGGTTTAGGTCTTACCATTCCCAAGCCAAGTAGTGTATAATCGAGTTGGGAAGTGTGGCAGTCGCACTGTAGTCCTGCTGTTGCGCATTCTGTCAGAGAGACACCAGTTTAATTTGGTCTCCTCTGACATCCATAACAAAACCAGGCTGACCAAGCATGAACAGGTAAGAACACAGAATCTGTGCTTGCTATTTTAATTCATTTTTTGAGATGTAAAACTTTCTAGTTTTCTAGTCCTAGTCTCTTCTTACCTATGAAAACATTCTAATTTTGTTTTAAAAGAAAAAAAGAAATGAGAACATTATGCACACTAATGTGGGTGTAATGTGGAACAAGCTACCAAGCTACTTTGTTGACACCAGAAGCCTTTCTTATTTCAAGAAATGGCCAGATCAGGATCCCTGGATCCAAATGAGTTACATGGACTGAATGTCCTCTTCTCATTTGTAACCTTTTTTGTGTTCTTATTAAGGTTTCAGTAGGTTTCTGTCAACACTGTCCTTCACTCATAAAATAAAATTAATCACATCCGCCAATCTACCTTTTCACAATGCAGTGTGCAATTCATCAGATAAAGTTATGAATCAGTTAATGTTTTGAGACCAGCTGGAGGTGTGTCCATCTCTTAGTACAAATGCAGCCATTCAAAATGCACTGTAAAAGCCCGTACTACACGAAATGATCTGCAGATCAGTGCACCATACTGCAGTACGTGATTGGCTAGCCAAAATGACCAACAGGTGGCACTCATGGTGCATTGGTTGTTAGTAAAACGATTGTTTCATTTCATCTCTTTACTGTGCACGTTTAAATTATCTTATTGAATATTAATATGGAATTTTACATATATTAATATGGAAATTTAGGTAGCTGAGCATAAAAAGAAGAGGAGCATAACGTGTCTGATGGTCATAAATGATTAATGATTAATTTAGGAATATAAACATATTATGTAAGGTGTATATGGTGTGTATTGGTAGTTTAAACAAATAAATACTGTTAATAATAAGTACAAACCAGTATTCTGCTTTCTTTATAAACATTTTAAGCATCAAAGTCTTTCATTTGGCTACTTCCTGTGGTTATTTCAGAAAAGTTAAAAAAGTTATAATTCTTTAACCTTTTCTGTCAATACTTACACTCGTTATCGCAGGGAAAAAAAGGCATCCTTTTTAGAATTTGATTAATAGGGAATATAATATGGAATCGCGTATCTAAAGATATTAATAACAATATAATTATATTCTTATAGCTCAAATTATCACAGTAGTACACTTTCTTTGTAAATGTCTGCATCAGTTTAACTTATTTCCCCATGCTTATGTGTGTGGTGTAATGGTTTAGGCTTGTGCCTTGCATGCTGCAGGGTGGGGGTTTGAACCCACCTGTAGCTGTGAGTTTTCTTTTAACAAATAAACATTTATTTGAAAAACTAAAATAGCGAATATTATGGACACTAAATTTACATTTTTTATATTTCTAAATATCACGACATGTTCAAAGCTGTGTCTGTTTGTCTGTCATTTGATGGACTGGCTCTATGTCCAGGGTATATTCTGCCTTGTGTCTGTTGCTTGCTGGGATATGATCCAAATCCTCTGTACTGGATAAAGAAATTAGAAAATGGTTGGAAGTAAAGGCACTGTGTGGATGGAATTATACACAGTGCTAGAAACCCACTATGAGATAGCGGAATCTCACTGAGGATAAATTATTTTATAGTGCTGGCTTAAGGAAACAGCCTTTCCACCTCTCTTGCACATCAGTATCCATACCTAGTTATTCCTTCAATTCATGTGCATCCAACACACAGTTCAATGCTAGCAACTACACAAAATCTAAAATACAATCCTCATTTTAGTATCTATGTAAACATACAGTCTGTTAACTTTATCATCTTTCTCTGCAGTCTATAACATCTACTGTCATTTTTTCAGAAGTATGCTTAACCCTATAAGGAAGTGATCTTGTTATCAGTGTATTCCTCAGCTTTCCCCAAATAATCTTTTTCCTACCTACGGATGCAGTCATTCAAAATGGGTGGGGTATTTCGCGGTATACCCCGGTGGGCGTGTCGCAGTATCAAGCAGTATCACGGGGTTAATCTCTCATGTACAGCATTTGAGCATTTAAATTTAAACTGTGTATTACAGCATGTTAATCATCAGTCATTTAAAAGTTGGTATATTTTATGAAAGCAAGATTGCTCAGTTGGACAAAAATACACAACCTACCTTTATCATAAATATTTATGCATCAAAGCCTTTGACGAAGATATTGCTAATAGTATTAATAATGAATGACTTTGGACAAGCTGTAAACTCAAAGTATAATTTCTTTAGCACATTTGTACAAGCACTTGGAATCCGTCCAAGCCCCACTTTGTCAGGCATTTTCTTTTACTGCAACGGACATAAAAACTCCCTTGCTTTTAACAGAGCGTTTCATAATTTCTAACTACGAAAATTATTTAA